AAAAAATTAATTTTTTTAAATACACTAAGTTGTTGTGGTGTGTGTATTATTAATAAATTAGTCTTAAATTATATAAAAATTAATTTAAAGACATCTTAACTATAAATAAATTAAACAAATAAAATAAAAGGTGGGTATTCTTTGAAGTAAAAATAGTAACATTCTGCGAAGGATTTTGCTTAATTTTCACCTATAATATTGTTGGAGCCAACATATATAACTAAATGAAAATGGGGAGTTCCTTATCATAAAATATTAAATTTTCTGCAAGAAATTGGTCCCTACTCCAACCAGAAATTAAAGAAAAGTGTCGTCTCATCCCTTCTTCACACAAACCGGTCGGCATAAATAAAATCCCATCAAAGCACAAACACTACCTCACATGACTCATCAAATAAGGGACACCAGGGCGATGGCGTTTCACTATAATTAATGCACGCGTGACACCATCAACTAGCACTATCCTCAAATCAATCAAATTACTATATATTATGCTCCAAATCATCAAACAAAACTCGTATAATATTGGAAAAATTTTGCTAAACCTAAGCAAAGCTGTACCATATATAATATTAATATCAAGCGGACAAAGTTGAAGAAGGTTACCTAAGTAGTATAACAATAAATTAAAAAAATGAGTATCCATACTAGCTGGAGATCATTTCCTTAATTTCCTCAATCAAAGATTCAATTCCTCAATCAAAGATTCAAAAGACATACCATTTGTTTTTTCTTTTCCCTACCAAATTTTTATAATTTTGTATAAGCTGAGAAATTAAATTTATGATGAAGTGGATAAGGTATTAGAGGTAAGTAGATTTGACTGACGAATAAACGAATGGGAATATGATATCTTGAAAATCTTCCGTTTTTTCCTGTTAATTTGACGAGGAGCAGCGGCATAGGGAGGGGCGCAGGGGGGCACGGCCGACCCCCTCAACTTTCGAATAATTTTAAATTTAATTACTATAATATTAATTTTTTTGTTCTTTATATAATTTTAAAATTTTGTCATATTTTTACTTAATAACCCAAGACTAATAATTATACATGTAACCTTTTTATAATAAATATAATATTATTCCTTTTAATTAATTATTTACTTAATAATTATTTAATATAATAATTTAAAATCAGCTATTTAATTCTTAACCGTTAAACTTCCCTTTTTTTTTTTTTCTTTTTCACTTTTGAGTCCTTGGAAACTTGGATCTTCTTTTAGGAATGGAAACTTGGTCCTTCGTTGTAAGCTTTTAGAATTGCAGTTGATGGAGAACAGACATGCACATGGGGATCTTCCCCATTAATGATTTTGGCCTATTTCTCTTTCGTTTGTATAAAGGGTACCCCATCTTATCCCTAATCACCTTTTTCTGCATCACTCTCACGTGTGTACGTGACACGAGAGAGAGATGGCCCGTGGGAGTGACTGTACTGCGCAGTCTGCAGGATAGGATCGTCGCTTTTGAATCGGACGGCACCGCCCGCCAGTTGTCCAACTGCTGGAGACACGTGGCAACACATTGTTCCATCTGACAATCCCACCATTAAAAAACAGATGGCACGCTTTAATTAAACAAAATAATTTACTCATTTTTACAAGATTTATAAATTAATATATATTTACTCATTAATATTTTGTATTTATTATCGAGAAATATTAGATTAAAAGGTTGTTAATGAGGACCTTACCTCAGTACGATCTGTTTTATAGGTACGCAGCCCTATATCCTTGAGTTCTAAGGAAAAGAATATGTTGTTAACGAATTCACGTTGTTAATAATCAATGATTAATTTTCTGGTAATGGATGATTAAGGATGGA